CTGCTTCCAATCTCTGTGATTTTTTGGTGGTGCAGACCCCGCCGTCACCTTCTGCCGCCGCTCTCGGCGGCGTCGTGTCCACGGTTCAGGCAGAAAATAGAGAGTTCAGTTTAGGCTGGCGCCACCTTCCGCCGCCCCCCGCTTGGAGAGAGACAGTGACCCGTGCCTCTAAATCCTCCTTCTCCCCCTCCCCCTCCTCCTCCTCCCTCCTCCCTCCTCCTCCTCCTCCTGCTCCTCCTCCGCCTCCTCCGTCTCCTCCTCCTTGTCCTCCTCCTCCTCCTCCTCCTCCTCCTTTTCGGTGGGCGTTGGACGTTCGAGAGCGAGACAAATGAGGCATGAACGTACACTTTCGGGGGCCCGCGCGGATCTCTGGGATCTGCACTGAGCCACACCCGACAGAGAAGGAACGTGCCCCACAACATTTTCCAAATGCCCCGGCAGCGCTTGCGGCGCCGCCCCTGGAGCGCTCCGCGTGCCGGGGAGGGGGGGGGGGTCCGGTGCGGATCCAAGAAATCCGCGCGGACCGTCGAAACAGTTGATGCTCGTGCCGTTCTTCTTTCTCCAGAGATGGCTCTGTCCAGGTCCTGCGGGGGCGACGCGCGTCCGTGCCCGGCCCCCGCCGACGTCCCCAAAGATCAATCCCCTAGGCGGTGGTCATGGCTGCGCGTCGCTCCGCCGCTTCTGGCCCGCCACGCTTCGGCGCGACGCGCCATCCACTTCCCAGGCCCCGGCCGCCCGCGCCCCGAGTTTCCCCGAGCGCGCCACGCCGCGGAGCGGAGCGACGCGCCATCCCCTTGCCAGGCAAGGCGCGCCGCCAGGGCCGCCGCGGCGCCGCGCCGAGCAACCGCTCGCGCCGGGCGATTTCGCCCGGACTCGGGCCCCCGGGGCCCCACACCGAGCTCGCGCCGAGGCTTTCCCCCCGGCGCGCGGCCGAGCGCCACGGCCTGGAGGCGCCGCGAGCTTCTGGGTGGTGCGGTCCGCTGCTAGTGTTAAGTCGGGCTTGTCCCTCCACAGGAGGAATATGCAAAGATGGTCCAACAAAAACTCTCGAGCCCGAGCATTTCGTCTCCGCGAAAGATTCGGCATGACGAGAAGGTTCAACGACGGTGAGGAGGAGGAAAAGGAGGAGGAGGAGGAGGAGGAGGAGGAGGAGGAGGAGGAGGAGGAGGAGGAGGAGGAGGAGGGGGGAGGATGAGGAGAGGGAGGAGGATGGGGAGGCTGTGTCCGACGAGCTCAATACCCACCAGGAACCAGGAACCAGGACGAGGAGGAGGAGGAGGAGCAGGAGGAGGAGAAGGAGGAGGAGGAGGAAAAGGGGGTGGAGGAGGAGGAGGAGAAGGAGGAGGAGGAGGATGAGGAGGACCTCACCTTTTTTTCTCGCCGTTCGAAGCTTTCTTTGGGCTGCGAGCCCTCCCTGGCGGCAGAGCGCCGCCGGGAGGGGGGCGAGGGCAGTTCCAGCCGCTGGCCTCGTGCCCGCAGTCCTCGGTCCTCCAGGGCGCCCTCGAAGGCGCGAAGTTGTCCGCGCTTTGCGTTTCGCGGTTCGGCTCCGAGTCCCCCTCGGCCTCCTCTCTTCTCCGGGGGTGCGGCGCGGGAGCGCCGAGCCAGGCGCGCTTCGCAGTTCAAGCAGCGCGAAGCGCGAAGTTAGGAGGAGGAGGAGGAGGAGGAGGAGGAGGAGGAGGAGGAAAAGGAGTGCGGTCCGCTGCTCGTGGCTCGAGGGAGGTTCGAAGAACAAGAATCGGCATGAACATAAAGCTCTTGGAGTTCCGCGCGGATTGCTTGGATCTGTGCCGTGCGTCGGCTCCTACCTGTGCCATCAAGTGAGAGGCTAGCACTTTTCACGTCGGGCTGCATTGTGTGGAAGAACAAGCGTGCGAGGATATGCCAGGCGAGTGATAGATTTTGAAGGCCCGCCACCCTCTATCCGTGTAGCCGTTGGGCACGTCAAACTTTCGGATCAGCGATTGAGAATGAGTTTCCAGTGATCGCCTGATTGGAAAGCCACCTGCCCTTCCGTCGGTTGAAATGCGCGAAGCTCCAACCTTGAGGGCCATAGCATGCGAGGAAGTTCTGGCGATAACTAGCTGTTAAACTCCGCTTGTCCCCGTTCGCGCAGCTGATGGACATGTCACGTTCAAAGAGCGCGGAAGTCTCAAGGTGAAATGCCCAGACCGCCCTACCAACACACCCAGCGGTGCGACGCACAGGACCCATCCACAAGAAAGACGGAAGTCGGGGAGGGATGATGTTGGTGTTGGCTGATGACGCTGATGATGATGATTATGATGCTGCTGCTGCTGCGAGTGTGGATGGATGCTGGTGATGATGATGACGATGATGGTGGTGGTGATGATCATGATGATGATGACGATGACGATGACGATGAGACGATGACGCTGATGACGATGATGATGCTGATGCTGCTGCTGCTGATGATGATGATGCTGCTACTGATTCTGATTATGATGATGATGATAAATACTGATGATGGTGCTGCTTCTGCTGATGATGATGCTGCTTCTGATGATGGGGATGATGATGCTTATGATAATGATGATGATGGTGGTGGTGGTGGTGATGGCGGTGGTTGTGGTTGTGATGCTGATGCTGCCGATGATGCTGACGATGACAATGATGTTGCTGCTAATGATTATTACGATGACGATGATGATGACGATACTGCTGCTGCTGATTATGATGATGATCATGATGATGACGGTGCTGATGTTGATGATGAGGATGATGATGATGACGATGATGATGATGATGATGATGATGATGATGACGCTGATGATACTGGAGAAAGATGATGATGCTGACAATGATGATGATGATGATGATGATGATGATGGTGGTGGTGGTGGTGGTGATGATGATGGTGGTGGTGGTGATGATGATGATGATGACGACAACGATTATGATAACGATGATGATGGTCGTGGTGATGGTGGTGGTGATGATGATGGTGATGATGACCACGACGACGGTGACGATAACGATGACGACGACGACGATGATGATGATGATGACGAAGATGATGATGATGATGATGATGATGATGATGATGATGATGATGCTGCTGACGATGATGCCGCTGCTGATGATGATGATGATGACGATGATGATGATGATCATGCTGATCATGATGACGACGATGATAATGATAATGATGATGATGATGATGATGATGATGATGATGATGAGGATGGTGATGCTGATGATGATGGTGATGCTGCTTATGATTATGATGATGATGATGATGATGATGAGGATGGTGGTGGTGGTGATGCTGCTGCTTATGTTGATGCTGCTGATGATGCTGACGACGACAATGATGCTGCTGCTGATGATGATGACGAAGATGACGATGGCGGATATGCTGCTGCTGCCGATGATGATAATGATGATGCAGCTGAAGATTATCATGTGGATGATGCTGATGACGAAGATGACGAATATGATCATGCGGATGATGATTATGATGATGATGATGATGATGATGATGATGATGATGATGATGATGATGATGATGATATCGATGACGATGATGATGATAGATGCTGGAGATGATGCTGGAGATGATTCTGATGATGCTGATGATGCTGACGATGATGATTGATGCTGCTGCTGATGATGATGGTGGTGGTGGTTATGATGATGATGATGGTGCTGATGTTGATGATGATGATTGTCATGCTGATGATGGTGCTTCTGCTGATGATGACGATGTTGATAATGCTGCTGATGATGATGGTGACGGTGACGGTGATGGTGATGGTGATGTTGATGATGATGATGAGGATGATGATGACGATGATGATGATGATGATGATGATGATGATGATGATGTTGATGATGATGATTCTGATGATGACGATGATGATGCTGATGATGACCATGACGATGATGATGATGATGATGATGATGATGATGATGATGATGATGATGATGATGATGATAATGCTGATGATGATGATGGTGGTGATGATGCTGATGATGATGATGGTGATGATGATTATGCTGATGTTGATGATGCTGAAGCTGCTTATGACGATGAGGATACTGCTGAGGATGATGATGCTTATGTCGGTGGTGATGATGAGGAGGATGACAATGAGGATGATGATGGTTGTGGTGTTGGTGGTGGTGGTGATAGAGATGATGATGACGACGATGCTGATGATGATGATGATGGTGATGATGGTGAGGACGATGACGACGACGATGACGATGACGAGGACGGCGACGGCGACGGCGACGGCGACGGTGACGGTGACGGTGACCGTGAGGAGGAGGAGAAGGAGGCGGAGGAGGAGGAGGAGGAGGAGGAAGATCTGACGAGGTTTGCGACGTTTGATTTTTTATCTGAACGCCATCCGAGTGGCAAAGCGCTGCTGGGGGGGAGAAGGACAGCTCTAGTCGTGGATCTGATTCCCGCAGTCTTCAGTCATGAGGAGGAGGAGGAGGAGGAGGAAGAGGAGGAGGGGGGAGATGAGGAGGAGGATGATGAGGAGGAGGAGGCGGAAGAGGAAAAAGAAAGGAGGGAAGGACCACCTCCAGTGGAGAAGGCCACTGAGGTTGGCCCTTACCAGTGGCGAACTGCACTGTGCCCCAGTGGTAAGGCACCGTTCGTCACCGAACCCCCATGTATCACAGTCGAGTCGAGTCGAGTCGAGCCGGAGGAGTAGGAAGAGGACGAGGAGGAGGAGGAAGAGAAGGAGGAGAACGAGGAGGAGAACGAGGAGGTGAACGAGGAGGAAAACGAGGAGGAGGAGGCGGAGGAGGAGGAGGGAGGGAGGGAGAGGGAGGAGGGAGGAGGGGGAGGAGGGAGGAGGAGGAGGGGAGGGAGGAAGGAGGAGGAGGAGGAGGAGAGGAGGAGGAGGAAGTGGAGGAGGAAGAGGAGGACGAGGAGGAGGAGGACGAGGAGGAGGAGGAGGAGGGAAGAGTCAGGCCTCGGGGGTTTTAGCCCACCCCGTCGAATCCGCTGGCGCCGCCCCCCACAGGGCGGGGCACAACGACCTCGTCGAGTGGGACACGCGCACGTACTATACGGAGGCGGTGCCCGCCCTCTATCTCCGCGGCGGAGAGGTAGGGGGGAGGATGGGGTAGGAGGGAGGAGGAGGAACAGGAGGAGGAGGAGAAGGAGGAGGAGGGGGAGGAGAGGATGAAAAGGAGGAGCAGGAAGAGAAGGAGGCGGAGGAGGAGGGGAGGAGGAGGAGGAGGAGAGGAGGAGGAGGACGAGGAGGCGGAGGCGGAGGCGAGGCGGAGGAGAGGAGGAGGAGGAGGAGGAGGAGGAGGCGGAGGATAATGACGAGGAGGAGGAAGAGGCGGAGGAGGAGGAGGAGAGGAGGAGGAGGAGGGGGATGAAGGAGGGGGACGAGGACGAGGGGGAGGAGGCGGAGGAGGCGGAGGAGGAGGCGGAGGATGATGACGAGGAGGAGGAAGAGGCGGAGGAGAGGAGGAGGAGGAGGAGGAGGAGGAGGAGGAGGAGGCGGAGGAGGAGGAGGAGGAGGAGGAGGAGGAGGAGGAGGAGGAGCGCCCCCCCAGGTCCAGGGCTTCCTCGACGAGGTGAGGAGAGTCGCCAACGGCGAGGCGGGGCGTGTTGCGGCTTGCGCCCCTTGTTTTCTTCGCTCCTCTGGGCGGCCCCGCACCGCGGCCGCCTCTGCGCCCCCTGCGCACGCCGACCCTCTCGGCGGGGCCCGGGCCTGTTCCCCTCGCCTCCCCCGCGGCCGCCCTGTGCTTTCGCGCCCGCGGGCTTCCCGCCCTCCCCGCCCCCTATGGGGGGGGGACAGGCAAAAGGCTTCGAGGGGGAAGCGAACCCCCCCAAAGAAGCCCGAGGGACGAAGCAGGAGCCAGGACCCCTCCGAGGGGGAAGGCGAAAACCACGAGGGGGAGCAAGACAGAAGCCTTGCTCCTCCCACCCGCTCCGCGCGCCCCGCGTTCGGCGCGCCCCGGCCCGGCTCGCCCCTCGCGCCCGCGACCGCTGCCGAGCGTGCTCCTCCAGTCGGCCGCGTCGGGGGTGCTCCGCCCGGCGCCGGAGGTGCCGGAGAAGTGACGGGCTGGCGAGATGGGCATGGGTCAGAGGACCCCGAGATCCCGGCGATGCAATTTTTTCACAACGGGCGTTTTCGCTCAATTTCGGGCCCTGGGAACCTCACAGATCGATCCGGCTCGAAAAATGACGCAGAAGGATGGGGTCCGGGGCTCTGGGTGTGATTTTTTGCGATGTTGCAACTTTTCGGCAACGTCGGATCTCAGGGGAGAACAATGTACCCCTACCACTACCCGTCCCTCGTTTTTCCCTGCGTTTGGGCCTTCTGGGAGGCCCTCGTCGCCACCGCTGGATTCGTCTCGGAAGTCTGGTCAGAACGCACCCTGGGGAGAGGTGCGGGGAGTAGCGGTGTCGGTCCCTTTTGGTTTCTCCAATGGGGTTCAGCCCCAATTGGAGCCAGCTGGGTGGCAAGATCGCGCAAGGTCTTACAATGTGTTGCGCTGGCTGATCCCGCGCTGGGTGCCGCTCCAGGTCCAGACTTCGGCGATTGAACCCCCCTTTTCTGGGCAGCGCGCACGTTCAAACATTTTTCAGCAGCCATCCTTGATTAACTGCCCACCCTGATTAGCATTGGCCTCGGCCTTCGTTGTGAAAATGAACCCGGCGCGACCCCAATGAGGAGAAAGCTTCCTATTGCATGCGCGCAGTGCTTGGCATTGCTTGGCAATGCTTGGCATTGCTTGGCAATGCTTGGCATTGCTTGGCATTGCTTGGCATTGCTTGGCATTGCTTGGCACTGACAGGCATACGAGGCATTGCTGCTTGGCATACGAGGCACCGAGGGCCGGGAACCCGGGGAACCTGGGGAACCCGAGGAACCCGGGGAACCCGGGGAACCATGGAGCCTTTGGGCAACGGGCCACGTCACAGAGGCAGCGGCGGCGGGGAACCCGAGGAATCCTGGGAACCCGGTCAACCTGAGGAACCCGAGGAACCCTGGAAGGAGCCTTTGGGCAACGGGCCACGTAACAACAGAGGCAGCAGCGGCGGGGAACCCGAGGAAGCCGGGGAACCCGAGGAAGCTCTGGGCAACGGGCAAAGAAACGTTGGGAGGCACCAACCTTTACCGAGTAAGAACCCCTCAGGCAAGCCGAACTGGGGAACTGGGGAACTGGGGCGGTTTGGTTTCGGACTCCGCATTGCAAGGGCAAAGCTCCATCAATTGTAGGTGTTCTCTGGAGGGCGGTAACCCAGTGCCAGGGCCCTGGATAATAAAACATACCCCCCCTTCCCTCCTATTTGATCCCGGTTCAATGGGATTTAATTGTGAAGATGGGCGCGGAGGCCGACCTTGATAATCCACGGGGGAAGTTGCGAATCGAAGTTGCTATCATCTCATGCTGACTAGCAAGAGCATCAAAAACGCTGATCATGGCCATGGTGGTCTCACCATACCAGTTTCTGCAATCACGAGCGTGTGGCAGGGCCGTGGGATTCTCACCAGTTCAGTTTGCCCAAGTCACGAACATGCGGCAGGGCCATGGGATTCTCACTTTCTCAGCCGTTCGCGAGTCAGGAACGTGTGGCAGGACCATGGCGACCGATTGGATTTGATTTCAAATGCGTTTTTCGAGCAGGTAGATCATCATCATCATCATCATCATCATCATCATCATCATCATCATCATCATCATCATCATCATCATCATCATATCATCATGATCATCATCATTCTCATTATCATCATCGTCATCATCATGATCATAGAAAAATCGCCATCATCATGATCATCATCATGATCATCGTCATCATCACGATCATCGTCATCATCATAACTTCTAACTAACATCACCTTCCCTGGGAAAATCGTTAATTATCCCCGCCAGACCCTCGAACTTTATTCTTTGGGGGTGATGATTATCTGGGGCACAGGGTTAGGCAGCGACGGAAGGGCGTGATGAGAAGGCCCATTGGGGCCAGGGAGGCTTGAGGGTCGTATACTTGCTCGGGTAGTGAGTCGGTGAACGAGATTCCGTGGCTCCGGAAGTGCAAACGACGGCGGCGGCAACGACGGCGGCGATGGCACGCGCGAGTGCCGTGCGAGTCAAGCTTGGTCAGCGCTGCTTATCAGTATGTGTAACCTGGTGCGAGTGGCTTTATTCGGTCGCACGTCATGGGATTAGCGTCGATCGCCGTCAGGGAATCGATCAGATAGTGCCGACTTAGCGTCGGTTAGCGTCACTAGCGTCGATTTAGCGTCGACTAGCGTCGACTAGTGTCGATTGACGTCGATTCGCAAGAGCCGACAAGATGGTATGGGAGGCTCCCAGGAGTTGCCATCGAAATTTTATCTGGAGGTACTTTTTGTAGCTTTTCCCCAAAGGGAGCTTTGCATGAGGTGGCTATTCGGGGATTTGGTAAAACGTGGTTCAGTGAAAGCGACCTCGGGCCCACACCTGGCGGGCGCAAGCCCGGAAAGTGACGGCCGCGGCGCCCGCTTGAGCACCGAAGATGAACAATTCACTGATCGACGTGCCAGGGTTGGGGTTCTGTCCACCCCCGTGCTATGATGTGTGTGAAACGAGCCGGCGGGTGCGAGGTCTGCGCTGGCCGGCGTGCTTCGAGTCTCTCGGGCCCTGCTTCCGTGCCGGTGCGTCCTTCGGCCTGCCTCGTCCTGTTTGTTTTCAATGTCTTTGAGAGTTCCTCGGGCTGCTAGGTCTGAGGCCGTTTCTGTTTTTCAAGAGGTTTTCCTCGGGTCGCTTGGTCTTGTGTTCCCGATCGTTTCTGAAGAGGCCCTCGAACGCGACGCCAAGCAGCGCCAAGCAGTGCCCAGCAAAGCCAGGCGATGCCGACAACGCCAAGCAACGCCAATGAACGTCAAGCAAGCGCCAAGCAATGCCAAGCAACGCAAGGCAAGACCAAGCAATGCAAAGCTGCCAGGCAATGTCAAGCAACGCCAAGCAACGCAGGCAACGCAAAGCAATGCCAAGTACTGCCAAGCAGTGCCAAACAATTATTAGCAGTTCCGGGCAACGCCAAACAACGCCACGCAACGCCAAGCAACCCGTCCATGCAATAGGACGTGTGCCCCTAAATGGGGCCGTGCTGGGTTTCTTCCCTACAGGTAATTCCTTTCTGATGCACCCCCCAGACGTGCCGGCAAGTCGGTTGGGCTTTTCGCTTGAGACTTCCTGACCATGCATGGCCCTGAAGCTCGAACATTGCAATATCTGCAATGACGGAGGGAGGGCGTTTTCAGGATGGGGCTTTCGCTTTATAGCGCCGCACGCGCACGTCTGAGACCTCCGCAGCAGCTACGGGAGAGCCCGTTCTCATCACGGGGCTCTCGCTTCGGCTTCGGTGTCGCGCACGTTCGCCCTGCAGGTCTGCAACAGATGCAAGAGGATGGACGGGAGTCGTTTTCCAACTGCAGCTCTCGCCTTCGCGCGCCGCACGTTCGGTGCACACGTGGTTGCAACAGTTCCAGGGATGGATGGGGGTCGTTTTCGGCATGGTACTCGCGCCGCAGCGCCGCGCGCATTCGTCTTACAAGGTGGTTTTCTGCACAGGGATGAATGGAGTGGTGGTGGCTTTCAACACGGGTCTCTCGCTTTAGCGCTGCGGACATTCGCCTCGCCCGTCTGCAATTCGGTAACAGTTGCAGGGATGGAGGGCGGTTCCTCTTTACAGCGAGGTTGTTGTTTGATTTAGATCCAAGGACCAGAAGCTCGACCACATACAACAGCTACATGGATGTATGATGGTTCCTGATCAACCATGGAGATTTTGCTTGAGACTTCCCCGAAGTTCATCAGCGTAACCCTGTGCAACAAGTGCACAGGGCGTGGCGGTCCTTTCTTCGAAGCGGTGATCTCGCTGGACATCCCGTTGTACTGTATGATCATACCTTCTCGTACTCCTTCCTGATTGGTCGCTAGAAGGCCGCAAAGCAGTTCCTGATCAAACCCGGGGTTTTTACGTGAATACAGCCCAGCGGTTGCTGGTCTTTCA